TGGCATAAAGGCCCGGCAATTAATTTTTTCAGCTGGAGGCTGCGATGGAATTTGGGTGCTGAGACTCTGGCATGCGCCTCTAATTCCATTCTTCTCCTCTGTGAAAAGCCTCCACTCTTCAGGGAGGTGGTGCCCTTCAGAACTGCACCATGACATTTTCTGTCTTTGGGGCCAAGAGGTAAATTTAGCCCTGAAAATTATTTGGAATGTATCTCAGGCTACTCGGCTGTCTCGTGCTTTTTCCACTACCCCAGCAGGCTATAGCGCTGGAAAGATGGAGGCCGATCCTTCATTCACTTCCTGGGGGAGGAGTGCGCGCTGTGTTCCCAGAGTACCGCCCACCCTCGCCTCCCAGCAGCCTTCAGTGTGGAACAGCCCAGCCAGCCTCTGATGGACAGAGATGCAAGCAAAGAATGGAGAATTTGTTGGGAAAGGGGGAAGGGAAGCAGCTTAAATAAGAATGGACCAAGGTGTGCGCTTAGTACATGGCAAATGGAGAGAGAGAAGGAGGGGTCTCTAAAGGGAAAAAAAATGGATCCTGAAGGGGACATGCAGGGGTGAGAAAAAGCCACTTGCCCTCCTTCTATGGAGGCAGGGCAATGCAGAGGGTCAAAGTGCAGGCCTGGGTGTGAGTCTGGGGGGGGTGACCTTGAACAAGATTTAACCTCTCCGTGGTTCAGTTTTCTACCCTGAAAAATGGGGGATAAAGTGGTCTCCACCTCATTAGATTATTATGAAGCTTAGACAAGAAATTCATGTAAATCACTTGAGAAAATACTTAGCATGTAATGAGCACTCAGTAAGGATTATCCGTTGTTATTTCCAACTGCTCTCCCCGCGTGTCTCACAATCCTGTTTTCAGGACAAGGCGAGTTCTCTGCTTTCACCTTACAGCTTCTGCTGAGCAGCTGATGTTTATCCGGTGTTCTGACTAGTGATTTTAGTCCTTGGAGTCACCTCTGGAATCTGCTCACGGGAAGCGGGACACACGCAGAGCAAGCTCACAGGACACACGCAGAGCAAGCTCACAGTAGATGTTGTTGAGCGGAACTCACCGATCGCCAGAGCCTGGAGTGTCTGAACTGCAGGTGAGTGTTCTTTCCAGTCTTTCTCTGAGCCCCTCCCAGCCCAGCAGAAGAGACTGAACCACAGAGAGGCTGGGTAGCAGCCTATAGCCCAACTGAGCGTTGAGGTCCGTGAAATACTACATATGGGGAAACCCTTAGCCCCTTCCCCATGTCGGCCCCCAGCCCCAGGGTAAGCAGGCTGACCCCTCTCGGAAGGGGCACTGGAGGGTCTGCATAAGGAAGCTGGACAGTCTAACAAATAAGGTCAATGGAGACTCCCAGGTAAGGTCCCCATTGAAATGGCCTGACAGGGTCAACCTACGGTGAAGCCCACCCACTGACCAGCTGGCTCTCAACTTTTTAGTGGTGCACTCATATGTGCAAACAAATAAATAGTCAAAGTTCACTTGTCATTTCAAAAACTCTCTAAAATGAAAGACAATGCAAAAAAAAAAAAAAAAAAACCCAGAAGAAAAAACTTGTAGAAAACAGAAACAACACAGAAAGTAGGAGAGACCATTTGTTAAAACTTACCTAACACCTTTTGAGATTTAAGAGAAGATATCACATCCATGAGACAAGAATATGTGCTATAAAATAAGGAACATTCAGAAAAAAACAACAAAGATATATAGAAATTTTAAAAACTGGTGTTTGCAGAACAACACACATAAATCTCAAAAACATCTAAAAAAAGGAATCAGACACAAAAATGTATGTAACATTCGATTCCATTCCTACGAAATTCAAGAACGAACAAACTTCATCTTCGGGGACAGGAACCCGGAGAGGGCTGCGCGGGCAGCGGGAGCAGAGCGGACTGGACAGGGGCACGCGGCGGGGTGGGGGTGGGGACGGCGGCGGGCGTTCGCAGATGAAAACGGGCCCGATCTTGTTTTGGTGGCATTTGTGTGGGCATGCTTAATTGTCACAGTTTATTTCACTGAATAAGAGCTGTGCACATTAATTTATGTTAATTACATGTTAATAAAAACATGTCACACCTGCAGAAATTAATAGGTCAGTAGAAAAATTCAGCCTCTAGATCTAGCTATTAATGTCCAGGAAACAGAGAGAAAAAAAGAAGCAAGTTAAACGTACCATAGAGATGCAGTCAGCGAAACCCAACTGGGGCAAACTCTACAGTTTGGACAGTTTTTTTCATTAAAAAGTTTTAGGGGGGCATCACAGATGAAGGAAGGACATATATTCATAGAAATTTAAGAGACATAGCAATCAATCACATTGTATGAAGCATTTTTAATCCAAATTTAAACAAACTTCAGAGAGCAAATTTATAGGACAATTGGGGAAAGTGTTAACATGTCCAGATATTTGATAATATTAAAGAATTATTGTTGTTTTTAAGTCAGATAATGTTATTTGGTTTTTGTGCTTGGTTTTTGGATTTTTTAAAGCAACTTTGTCTCTTAGAGATTCATAGTGAAATACAAACGAGACGAGGTCTAGGGCATCCTGGGGCCGTGGGAGCCGGCAGGGGCACAGGAACAGCGTGTGTTGTGTGTGATTTGGGCGACTGTGTACCCCAGTTCACCTGGCACAGTCCCAGTTCACATCCGCTGTCCGGCCCCTGCCTGTCCACTAGCCCATCATATCTCCTACGTATTTCCACAGGAGCTCCCTCCCCTTCCCCCAACCCTCAGCACCTTCACCTTGCTCACATCAAGTCACTGCCTTAGCTGCAAAGAATGCTGGGAGGCGGCCCACTTAGCCTTCTGGCCCCCGTGATAGCAGGATGTAAGGGAAAAGGGAAACTGGGAATGGCCTTTTGCCGCCTTGGTTCACAAACGTTTCCCAGACTCGTCCACATCTCCCCTCCAGTCCCTCCTCCTACCAGTGCATCCCACAGATCTTACATTCCAGAGATGCCAAATTTCTTAAAGTTCCCTGAGCACCTCACATTTTTCCTGGCTTCATCTCTTGCATATGCCCCTCAGTGACACATTGTTCCCTCATGATTCGACTCAGGTGTCGCTCTTCAGTGAGGTACCTACACACACACACATCCTCTGTGCTTCTTTACATTCGTTCCCATTATGGCATCTACCCAACGGGATTGAATTTGCCTTTCGCCCTGTCTATCTCTACCAGCCTGTTTGTGCTCCAGGGCGGGATCCAAGCCTTACAGGTCTTGGTATCTCTAGAACCCTGCAGGGCACAGCTCCATAGTGAACGCAAGACATCTAGTCAGCACTTTCACTGCTGTGTATTCGACAAGTGCTTTGCTGGGCACGCACCCAGTAAGGTGGTAAGTATCCACTTCTGATACAAAGATGAATAAAGTATAGCCTGGACCTCGGAGTAGCCTGCAATAATACCCGTTAGTCTAGGCAAATGCAAAACTAGACAAGACGCCACGAACACAGATGTGAACTGGGACTGTCCCAGGCAAACTGGAGTACACGGTTGCCCAAATCACGCACGGCACACGCTGCTCCTGTGGGAACAGCCGTGCCAGGCCCACGCCGCATAGCCTGCTGCACCCCGGTTGCTTTGGGCAGTTTCTTGCACAAGCCAATTGCTCCTCGTTAGTGCTGGGGCCATTTAACTTTTTTTCTTGCTATCCATGTAAAAATTACTAGAAATTTAATGTTTCTAAGGCACATAAAATATACTTAAGCAATTAGAAAAAAGTCCCATAAGAAATAGCTAAAACACTTTCCAACCCTTTTCACGTACTGAAATGCATATTCATAGTCGTCAGTGAAGCCCATCACGCACATACATTTCTTCACATGAGCACTAGACTTTGGCCGGTTGTCTTTATCGACGGGCACTGCGGGTGCTTCCAGCTCGTGCCCATTGTGAATGGTGGGGCTCAGAGCACCCTGAAATGGATCCCTTTTCTCTTCTGAGTCATTTCTTTCGGGTCCACACTCCACAGTGAAGGAACCTGGTTGAAGGACAGGAACTGCCGATGCATCTGATTTTCTATTGCTCTAAAGCTTACTGCTCTCCTGGAAGTGCGGTCACTTTATAGATTACATTTTTTTCTCACAACTCTGTCAATAATTTATATCATCATTTTCATGTACTCATGTAAACTTGGTGTCATTTTAAGCTGTTCTTGGTTGGCATTTTTTAATTTTTATTTACTGATTTGAGAGAGAGAGAAACATCAATTTGTTATTGCACTTACGTGCCCTGACCAGGGATCAAACCAGCAACTGTGACGTATCAGAACAACACTCTAACCAACTTAGCTGCCCAGCCAGGGCTCCTTATTTGCATGTTTAATTGCTGTAGAAGTTACACATTATACTTTAACCAAACACAGCTTGGTGTTGAGTATTATAATGTAAACATATACTCCATCATTACAAATATGTCGTAGGTATTCATTTGTTGAATAGTTGAATGGATTGAAATCACACACAGTTACAAAAGAAGACAAATACTGCATGATTCCAGTTACATAAGGTCCCTAGAGTAGTCCAATTCATAGAGACAGAAAGTAGTGTGGTGGGTACCCGGGGCTGGGGGATTATCGTTCAGTGGGTACTAGAGTTTCAGTTTTGCAATATGAAAAAAGTTCTGGAGATTCATTGCACAGTGGTGTGAGTGTACTTAATTCTCTTGAACTGTACATTTAAAAATGATTAAGAATGGGTTTTGGGCCCTGGCTGGTGTAGCTCAGTGGATTGAGTGCTGGCCTGCAGACCAAAGAGTTGCTGGTTTGATTCCCAGTCAGGGCACATACCTGGGTTGTGAGCCAGGTCCCCAGTCAGGAGCGCACAAGAGGCAACCACACACTGATATTTCTCTCCCTCTCTTTCTCCCTCCCTTCCCCTCTCTACAAATAAATAAGTAAAATATTTTTAAAAATGGGTTTTGGATAGACGATCAGCAATGTCTGTTATACTCACTTTAGTGCCTTTTTGTTTTGCCTTGTTTTTTGTTTGGGTGTTACAGGCTGGAACCAGTGGTTACGTGGCTCCTGAAATCCTAATGAGAAAAGTGAGTTATTCCTCTCCGGTGGACTGGTTTGCAATGGGATGCAGTATTTACGAAAGGGTTGCTGGAAGAACACCATTCAAAAATTACAAGGAAAAAGTCAACAAAGAGGATTTAAAGCAAAGAACTCTGAAAGAAGAGATCAAATTCCAACATGGTAACTTCACAGAGGAAGCAAAAGATATTTGCAGAGGCTTCTTGGCTAAGAAACCAGAGCAACACTTGGGAAGCAGGTAAACTGCCATAAAATAGAGATGATTACTGATGCCAGCATTGTCCATAGGGATTCGGAGAATATTTTGCATTAAGGACAAAGGCTTGGGGTCAAGTAAGTTGTATTATTGTAATATTATTATTTGCATATTACATGGTTAAGTATTTCTGATGCTTCCAAACACTATGAGCACTTGATATGGAACAACCTCCAAGATATATTTGAAAATGAAAAAGTGAGGTGCAAAACAGCTAACATAAAAAAGAAGAAAAGGAGTATATAATTTAAATATTTGCATAGGCTGTTTTGAGCAGCATATACAAGGAATGCATAGGAGTGATGCTTCTAATAGAGGGAAATTGGGGGTCGGTGACAGAAATGCAAAGGAGGGTTTTCACTATAGAATCCTGTCACCTTTTAAATTTTGAACCACGTGGATAAACTATTCAAAAACTAAAGCTGGGTCGGGATGCGTATGAAAGGCAACTGACTGATGTTTCTAACGTCAGTGCTTCTCTCCCTCTGTCTCCCTCCTTCCCCCCTTTCTAAAACTAAATAAATAAAATATTAAAAAATTAAAGCTCAAGATAAAATAAAAAACACCAGTATTGGTAGCCAAAGCTCTGGAAAATTCTTCTCCCTTAAACATCTCTCTAAAATATCATCAACTAGTCAACAAACATGTAGTGAATATGATGTTTCCAGCTACACTGATAGAGTCAAAATTATTTTTGAGGAACATCAAGCTGTATTGCTTACAATGGAATGATAAGACCAAGATATTTCAGAAGAAAAAACAGGTAAATAAAGCCCACCCTATGAGAAGACCCTGGGCAGAGGGTGAATGTGCCATGCCAGGAAGCGAAAACCAAGGGCTCAGAGCCACAGACGGGAATCGCATCCCAGCTCTGCTACAGTTCTGCTGCTCCTTTTACCTCCAGCAATTGAATTGCTTTCTCCAAGTGTCAATATCCTCATACATAAAATGGGAGTCAGGATGGTTAATGGTTAATCTCAGTATTGATCTGACTAGGTCACGGTACTCTGATCTGATCAAGCATTATTCCAGATGCAGGTATTTTTTTAAAGATGAGATTAACATATAAATCAGTAGGCTTTCAATAAAGCAGATTATTCTTCACAATGTGGATGGGCCCCATCCACATCCAATCAGTTGAAGGCCTTAATTTAAAGAAGAAAAAGAAGAAAGAAAGAGAAAACTGACATCCTTTGGAGAAGAGCGAATTCTCCCAGAAAACCACCTTTGGATTTGAATGCAACTCTTCCCTGGGTCCCCAGCCTGAGAGCCTCACCTTAAAGAATTTGGACCTGATAAGCCTCCACAATTGCAAGAGCCAATTTCTTAAAATAAACCTATTCCTCTCTCTCTCTCTCTCTCTCTCTCTCTCTCTCACACACACACACACAGACACATACACACACACACACATAGATACACACTACTGTCAGGGAGGGGAAAATGGATTTCCTTTGCCCTCTTAGTTCAGAATGGAGGCCTGCAAATTAAACTGGCAAAGAGAGATTTTGATCCATGTACATTTACAGGAGTTCACAGAAAAATGTGACCAGGAGATGGTGAGAATTGGAGGCTCATAGGGGAAGAAGAGGGGGGAAGGGCACTTACAGGCAAACAAATGACTTCTTAGTGCTGGGGGAGGGTGGGAAGGGCACTACAGAGGAACAGTGCCTTTTGGGAACAGGCATGGGTCCCCAGGCAAATAGATGGGAGACACCAGAGTCTTGTGACAATGCCTGTTTAGGTACGGTGCTGATTTCTGTCCCTGGTGGTAAGAGTTGCTCTCTCCAGGTTCCAGAACTCCTGAGGTTCCTGGGGAGGGGATTTGTGAGTTGCGTATTTTAGGAGGCTCTGCTTTGATGCAGATATGCACCTGTTGACTCTCAAATGCCCTCTGCTCCAAATAACTTCTATGCCATGGTGGTGCACTCTGGACCCTTCAACATCCGTGGACTGTTTCTCTGGAGAACCTGGCTAATACAGTGGGATATTTTGAGGTTTAGATATAATGTATGTAAAGTTAGATATAAGGTATGTTAGGAATCGTTCAATGAATGATAGCAATTATAGGTCCCCCCCCCGTCTCCGAAAGCAAGCTGAATGGAATAAAGCAAGGAGGGAAATACCATTAGTTTATGTCGAAGAATTTTTTAGCATTCCCAGAACCCCCAAAATAACCAATCAAATTATACCAAATACACTTACGTCCAGTTTTATGCTAACATAACATCCTTACGAGCTCTCTTAGGCTTTTCTGATGGGACACATCTTGCTGACAGATGCACAAAATAAATGGAGACAAAGCAGAGATGCTCACGGACACAGTTCAAAGCTCTGGCAGCTTAGTACTGAGGTGCTGAGTGCGGGTCCTGGGGAAGGAACCTGGAGGGCCGCTCGCTAGTTTGGGGTGCACCCGCCTCTGTAACGGCTGCTGCAAAACTAACACTGAACCCTATTTTGTCCTTTCAAATTTTTCATAAAAGCAAAAATCCTCTTCGGATTTCTTTTGGTCAGTGAAAACAGGTACTAGTACAGTGTAGGTCTTTCACAAAAATGAAGTGGTGTAATGCAACTGTCGAAAAGCAGGGGGTACCTGTATTATTGATCTGTCCTAAGGGAGATAGCAGACAAATGTTTTGACCAAACTATGAGCTTGAACGTCTTAAATTGTTTGGATTGAATCTTCGAAGTCTAAAAATGTATGCAAATATGAAAGTTACAACCATACAGTGATGTGCGCCAGTTACACCAGAACTGAGGCAGCCAAGTTACTCTACATCTCCCAAGTGGTTGCCAGTGGAGAATCTAGAACAATGTGACCTTCGCTGAAAATGTTTAATGTGGAGCCAAGCTTTTCATTTTTTACCTATTTTTCAACAGCGAAACTAATTCATTTGCAATAACTTTTGAAACATGGCAGATAACCAAACTAACAAGTGAGTATTTTGCAATTAGATGGAACTTTACACTTAAGGGAGGTAAAATGTGAAGCTGACTTCCCAGGATAGATTCCACCATTGCTGTGCTGGCACAGTCAGAGTAGACCACGTTGTAACAAGCGAATCCCAAAGTCTCCACTTCTGAAACCTAAGGGATTATTTCTCATTCACACTGTGGGTCCAGCGGCTCCCCAGGTGTCTCCCTTCTGAGCAGTGACGCAGACATCCTGGCTGCCTCTGTCCTGTAGCATCATGGGAATTGGTGGCCTCCAGTTGCTGTGGCAACAGTAGAGCACTCAGGGAGCTTCATCCTGCCTCAGCTGGGATCACACATCACTTCTGATGGCCAGAACATTCCCGGGGCCCTACTAAGAGTGAGGGGCTGGCTAGTGTGGTCTCCCAAGTGCCCCAGAAGGAAAGAACTGGATGTGATGACCCCCGACCCTCTCTGCCATTCTGGCTTTTGAGCGTGGGAAGCGACAGAAGCCACCAGCATTGGCCAAGGCAGCGGGGGGAGGGAGCAGTCTCTTCTACTTTATTTTCATTGTTTTTACATTTATTTTTCAATTATAGGTGATGTACAGTATTATATTAGTTTTGGGTGTACGACATGGTTATTAGACATTTATGTAACTTACAAAGTGACCCCCCTGATAAAGGCAGGAAGCCACCTGACTCCCAGGGGGAGCACCGCCCACTGGGTGGGTGTGATTGAAAATCTATCTCAGTGCTTCATAAGCACACCTGGGGCCTATAAGGTGAGACGTTGACAAACTTGTTTGGGAAAACGCTCCCTAAAGCACTGATCACTGCCTGAAGCTGCTCCGTGAAGAAAAGCCTTTTTATAAAGAACTTGTGTTGTGACTGTTTGGAGTGTAACTGTTTATGACATCCTAGCAGAGGCATATAGAAACCAGCTGTTCAGGGAAGGGAAAAACCTTCTAGTGTTTGCATTTTAAATCTTCACAGTTTTTAAAAATTCATTCAAATAAGATAGCATCGGCCTAATTTTGTGGGTGTGGGTGTCCTTCAAAGCAGAGCCGGGGTGCAGACAGCACGTGACACGTTGGACAGGCCAAGTACCCCCCGGTGCGCAGACAAGCATTTAAAGCAGGTCAAAGTGGGAGCTAATGAACAAAATAAACTAACAAGCAGAATAGAAACAGACTCATAGACACAGAGGACAGACTGACAGCTGTCAGTGGGGAGGGGGGTTACAGGGCCGGGTGAAAAGAGTGAAGGTGTTCAGCAAGAAAAAAATCCTAGGTGCAGACAACAGTGTGGTGGTGACCAGAGGGAAAGGGGGTGGGGCAGGTAGAAGGGTCGAAAGGGGGGTAAATGGTGATGGAAGGAGACTTGGCTTGGGGTGGTGAACACACAATACAATTACAGGTGGTGTGTTATAGAAATATATACCTGAAACCTACATAATTTTATTAACCCATGTCACCCCAATAACTGTAATTAAAAAGTAAAAATAAAACAAAACAAATTGAAAATCCCTCTCCATCTTTCAATATAAGTGAGTACGATCTCCTCCTTTGCCTTTATGGGTCTATGAGTTAATTTTGCAGAGATGCTGAAAGCTTTTCTGAGCATCTCCTAGGGGGTCCAAATAGGGTTAATTCTGGTGTTTTCCTATAAAATAAAAGAACTGCTTCAGTATTCTGCAGGTTTTATTCTGACCAGCCAATGCAGCTGATGCATGTGTCTGACTGAGCTGCTTCTCCAACACGGTTTCAGGCTCCTACCCACGGCTCTTGGCAAACCAGACGGCACAGAGTGGTCCTCCTGCATGGGCAGCCAGTATCGCAACTTCACTGAGCTGCATTGTAGTCTCCGTGTGGGGTTCAGTAACACAGGAGCCTCTGTTGATGCTCAGAAATATATTCTACTCCTACCAGCAGAAGAAGTCTTCCTGCAGCTGCCAGTGTGGCGATTACGAAAGATGCTGCCTCCATCAATAGCCTCTCCTATTTGTGCAAAAGAGGATGGGCGGCAGAGCCCTGCACGCAGCAGCCAGGGCAGGACTCAGGAGTAAAATCACCTTTGTGCTGTTTCTAACTGCGGACCTGAGGTGAGAGTCGCTGACACAGAAGAGTGGGGTGATCAGCTTTGTGGTGGCCTGGACAGAGTTAAAGGAACAGAGCCGAGAAAGCCTCTTCTCTTGTTAGCATCAGCGGCCATAGACATTGATTGGAAAAGGGCATTGTGAATGTAAACTTCCCAGGCCGAGAGAGACCAAGAAGGAGGCTGACAATTCCATCATTACATCAAGTTTATTAAGGGAACTTTCATATGAGTCATGCCTTGGGCAGTGGCAAGATGCCACAGACACCCTCTGCACCAGGTGGCAGGCAACAAGGGGTTCTCTAGTACAGGGCAGGATGGATGGAGGACTGGGCTGACCCATCCAAATTAGAAAAAAATGTCTTACAAGTTTTCCTGAGGCTGAGCAAAGGTCTGTTCTAGGAACCAGCATGCCATTGGGATCCGTCAGACTATTTCTGAGGGGATTTCAGGACGCAGTCTCTGTTCCAGCCAGGATTCAGCGGGCAGGTCCGGTGGCGGCCGGGCAGTGGGCAGGTCAAGGAGTAGTCTCTCCTCCACAGGTGTAGGGCATGGGCCCTGCCTGCTGGCCGCTTCTAGCAGGGATGTTGAGAAATGGAACGAAAGCCCTGAAAACGTCCAGCAATCCCCTGTCTTGTGTAACTAGTTTCAAAAGGGCTGCACTCAGCCATCCTGACCAACAAGCCCAGGCCATCCGGGTTTACTCCAGTTAAAGCTGCTCAGAGCGAGTTTAGGACACCGCCATGATGCCTGGGCCAGTGTGACCATCAGGGAGGTACAAGCTCCTTCCTCAGGGCCCTGGGAACTCACTCCGCCCATTCCAACTGTTCTATTCTCTTTGAGACACACAGGCCTCAAGTTCATTCCTGATCCACTTGGATGGAATTCTAGCTCTGCCCTTGTTCTGCCACATTTGAAGTCTATCTGAAACCCACTCCCCAACCTATCTGATACCTTCAAATGGTGAATATTACTGTGTAAATTATAGCTCAATAAACCTTCTTAAAAATACATCCTCGAAGCTTCTGTTTATCTCAGCAACCCTCCCTCCAGGCTCTGACTCCCCACATAGACCTTGGGCAATAGGCTCTGAGAGAGGGCAAGCCTGCCTTCCCCTTTTTTCAGTTGATGAAGACTTGGTGACCTTCGGAAGAAAAGAGAAACCTCGTAGTGTCTCGGGACGCAGCTCCCCATCCCTGCCTTTTCAGCTGGGCTACAACGGGAATAGTCCCAGGAGGCCTGGATGACTTTTCTTGATGGGGCTTGGCCAGAATCACAGAACAACAACCCCGGGAGGTGTCGATGACATTGAAGATTGCTGTGAGGTTTGGGGTGTCGAATTTGGTGACGAAGATGAGAAGTTCTTCCGAAGGTCTGCAGCAGGTGCTGTCCTCATCGCGTGGCAGGAAGAGAGTATAGAAATGGGACCGTCTGAAGAATCAGATGGCCCCAACAGGCCTGCAGCTTGTGGGGAGGGTAACTCTTCCAAGCCTGGTGCGTGTTTGTTATTATAAGCTGTTCTCTCTACCAGACAGGCAGCAGGAGTCTCAGCTGACCTAGCCCTACAATGTCCCTGTTAACCTGAAATGTTAAAAAAGGCCTTTCAAAGTGAGGGGCAACGAGCATTTATTCAGATCCATGAGAGAATAGCTGTTTGGGAGGCACTGATTTCGGCAGAAAACCAAACAGTGTCCCGATTAGGAGACAAAGGCAGGGGGCGTTTAGGAGAGAGGGCGGGGGAGCAGTCACACCCATAGAAGGAAGGCGTTTCTACTGGTGCAGATGACACAACATGGTGATGCTAATTCTAAGTCATGTTTTTCATTTCCAGTCCAGGAGTCATAATAACGGCTTTCTTGTTATCTTCGCCAAGCAGTTTTTTTTTTTTATGTAATGTTGCCCTAGGCCCAGTCCAAAGGTTACTTTGCCCAGTTTTAACCTCCCAAGATTGGAGACACGAGGTGTGCAAGGCCGTTGCTCTGGGACGGCAGCCCGGCTCCAGTGTCAAGGGGCTCCCTTTGCATTGTTGCTGATACCTGAACACACAGAAACCTGTTGCAGAGAGGACCCATCAAGGGGGAGGGGCATCTGGGTCATAAAGCAATTCAAAGGACAGGCAGGCTCCCCCCTTTCCTGCTCTCTCTTTGCTCCTGTCTTCCTCCCTCCCTCCCTCCCTCCCTCCCTCCTTCCCTCCCTCCTTCCCTCCCTTCCTTCCTCCCTCCCCCCCTTTCTTTTTTCATAAAAATGAGTAAAGTCTCAGTTTTCACTGAGGGCTGGGGCAGGAACACTCAGGTTTGTTTTGATAAACTAAAAGCATGAGCCTTTGACTCTCATGTCCCTGAAAATTACACTAAGTCCTAGGAACAGAGAAGGAAACTTTGTGGTGTGCACAGAAAATGAGCATTTGCAATTCTTAGTAAATAATCATTTTAGTTTTCCTTTGTTTATATCCTTCCTTCCCTTTATCTTTCAGCATTTCTTCCGCTTCTATACTTATAAAAAAGCGTTTGGTACTGGAAATAAATGTGCCTGATAGTCTCCTCATAAAAAAAGAAGTGGATTGTAATAGGCAATATTTCAGATTACAAAATAATTTTTAATTTATGAAAGGTATTTTTTATATTTTTGAACTATTTTACCATTTTAATGTTGGAGTATTTTAAATGAAAATATATATGATGCCTGTGAATTATTCTGTAAATTGAGTCCTTTAAGTAACACCTACAGATTGTTTACACTTATAATTCGATATGCTATTGGTTCCTAAACTCTGCTGAACCTTGGAATCACCCAGGGATCTTTTAAAAATACTAAAGTTTAAAAAATATACCTGGGTTGTGGGTTAGATCCCCTGTCAGGCATGTACAGGGGGCAACCAATCAATGTTTCTCTTATCTGTCATCTCTCTCTCTCTCTCTCTCTCTCATACACACAAATCAATGAAAAGAAATCCTCAGGTGAGGATTAAAAAGTTAAAATGAGCTTATGAAGGGGGACCCCCCAAAAATGGAATTTACTTATCAAAAATAGTGTATTTTATTCTTACATGTTTAAACTTCAGTCGCCTTCAAAGTACTCTGCATTTGATACAATATACCAATCGAGATGTTTTTTCCATCACTCAAAAGAGTTTTCAAACTCATGTATTTTGAAGCCATTTAGTGCTTCTGCCATTTTTGGTTTCACCTCTTCCACTTCAGCGAAACATTTCTCTTTGAGGACTTTTTCATCTGGGGAAACAGAAATAAGTTGCTCAGGGCAAAATCGGGTGAATAGGGAGGGTGGGGCACAGGGGGCATGTCGTTTTTAGTCAAAAACTGGTTTGCACTCAGAGAGGTGTGGGCAGGTGCGCTTGTGAATCACCCATCACAAAAAGGGCAAATGTGTTGAGTCTTCAACAAAAAATTCACTGAAGCCAAATGCAGCCTCTCACACCACCACCAGCTGGTGCACTGATAGAGATGGGTTTCTAGAACACTCACCTAGCGGGGGAATTCTGTACTACAAGGGTGCTGCCCTCCAGAAAATAATTTCATTTTGGGGGGGTCCCCCCTCATATGTTTTTATAGAAAAGTTTCATAAACATGGGAGGAAACAAAGACGTCTATGAGTGAAATGTTTAGACGAAGAAGAGCCAGGGACAAGTCACTTTTTTAACAAGATTTATTTATTTATTGATTGATTTGAGAGAGGGGAAGGGAAAGAGAAACAGAGGGAGGGGAGCATTGATGTGGTAGAGATACATCGATTGGTTGCCTCTCACATGCCCCCAGCTGGGGACCTGGCTGGCAGCCCAGGCACACGACCTACTAGGAATTGAACCAGTGACCCTTTGGTTTAGAGGCCAGCCCTCAATCCACGGACCCATACCAGCCAAGGTGGGACAAGTCATTTTTTACTGTTCCAGTTTATCAGGGATGACTTGAAACATTTGTTTCTTAAAGGAGGAGATGGACTTAATAAATCCCTGAAAAGGACTTAGAAGTACCCTACAAAGCAGAAAGTAGGGATGCTGTTTCCAGAGGAAGCAGCAACGAATCACTCATCTTAAGGTGACGAATCACAAAGAGTGAAAAAATATTCTCAATGGTTTCTCTTGAATATCAGATTTAGATGTCTCTCGCTTAGGCGTAAATGTGAAATAATTCAATGATTTAAACTTTGCTTCTTCATAATTACATGTTTTGAAATCATAAGAGCCTACCAGATCAGTTACCAAAGATTATATTATATGTATCATTAGAGCAATTTAATAATAACACCTATTTTTGTAAAGTGTTTGGACAGTAAAACATGATTAAAACTATTTAAAATGTGGAACCCTTGCTTCTTAAATGGTTGGTCTTGGCAGGAAGAAGCCATAGGGAGAAAAACAACGCATCAAGGGAAAAAAACGATAGAAAAAAATTTTTTGGCCTCGGAGACTTACCAGAGGCCTTTTGATGATCAAGAAATGTTCAAACTTACTTGATTTTCTTGGGTCATCTAGGATAAATAATAGCAGTTATTTAGGTTTAGTTATTCTTTCAATAAATATTGCTGCCTGTCGTGTGCCAGGCTCAACTTTGGTTTGGGAGCTGTGCTGGGCTTTGCCTCTTCAGACTTTCAGATTGGAAGGTGCTTTTGCTCCCTCTCTGTCTCAGTAAAACTTTATATCTCCCTGGGTAGGGATGAATTTTGTTCTTTCCACTTTCCTCCAAATTTTCTGCACCAAACACATACTTCTTTTAATAGTCAGGGGGAAAAGTATACTAACAAAAGCAAGGCAGGACCCACTGCGATTAGCCCCGGGATGGGCTGGCTGTACCAATAACTGGCCTCCAAGGGCCCCCCTCTGGGCCCAAGCTCAGCAGCCCAGGCCCTGGAGTAAGTCCAGGACCCCTGCTGTGAGCCAGCAGCGTCTTGGGACAGGGCTGGCAGTGGGTGCCTACGGCTGGGCTGGATCAGTGGTTCTACAATCCAGACTGTGAAGTACGGCTGGTCTGTGATCAAGTTTTTACCAAACCTCAGAGAAATGAAAGAAAGAACAATGCAGCAAGTGTTTCATGTGCTATTCACTTCAAAATATTTTTTCTGAATTAGTTAAAATGTCATCTTTTATGAAGTCATTGAATCTGGAAATCTCTGACTTGGATGACCTTGAATGGCATTCCGACTGTAGGGAAAATGATGCCTTGTTTAGAGGAGGATCCGCAAACTTTTTCTAGAAAAGACCAGATAGTAAACATTTTAGACTCTGCAAATGGCAACTGTTTCTCTGCCTTTGTAGTGGAAAAGTTGCCACAGATGATGTATAAGGACTGAATATGGCTGTGTGCCAATAAAGCTTTATTTACAAAAATAGGCAGAGGGCCTGGATGCGGCTTACAAGAAGTAATATACTGTTCCCAGTCATAAATAAAGTCTCATTATGAAACCCTGCCCCTCTCATCTGCGCTGCCATCTGTCACACACATTCCTGTCACACCCACTCTTTCTGCATGTGGCAGGAGAAGCTGTCGGGGAAGGAGAGGCAGGGAGGAGAAAGGCAGGAGCCAGAAGAACTGAGGACAGCCTCGAAGTTCACCTGCCAGGACTGCCGGGCACACTGAGCCTTTGAGACCATCAGCGCGAACCCGCATTCCAGGGGCAAGCGGAGGCGAGCGTCATTTTAGGGCCCTGGTCAAACAACCCTCCCCCACGGGTTGCCACGGTGCAAGTGCAGCATGTCCACTTAAATTGGTGGGGCTGTTTTACAGCTGATTCGAGAGAGAGAAATAGAGAAACTTCGATCCATTGGTTCACTTATTTATACATTCATCTGTTGATTCTTGTATGTGCCCTGACCAGAGATTGAACTCACATCCTTAGCATATTGGGTTGATAATCTAACTAACTGAGCTAGCTACCCAGCCAGGGCCCACTTAAGTCCAAATTGCAGAAAACAACAAACTATTTTTTTCTAGTATAAGGATGTTCTAAAAGTTGCATAGGACATATTTATCCTTAAAAAATCATCTGTTGTCTATGAGTACAGATAATCAACTTAAGAATAGTCTGTAGTCAGGATTAAAGAAGACTCAGGAACAGTCCTAGCACAGCGCCTACAGAATGTGCAGACAGAGCAGCAGCTGGGTTGCCTGAACCTGCCAGACCTGCACTCCGTCCAGTACAGTGTCTGGGAATCTCTTCTGGCAAGCCTGCGCGCGGGCTCTCTCTCACCCAGGGAGCTGGCCCAGCAGTGTTGTCAGCACCACCACCCCTGCGACCAGTGATAATCACACAATAAAAGCTTCCAGTTTTGGAGCACCTACTGCGCTCAATGTGTGTGCTGGGTGCTGTGTGTGGCACTCTTCATATATTACTCCCGATGCTCACAATCACCCTGTGAGTGGGCAGTATAACCTGCACTGTACCGATGAAGAAAGGGGAGTTCATCCGCTGAGTAACCCCAGGACTACCTGACACCTCATTGTTTTTTCCCTCACCCAAGGACTTTTTTAAAATTGCTTTTACAGAGAGAGAGGAAGGGAGA